TGGCAGCTTTAGGGTTAGAATTGCTTTGCCCTTCAAGTATCAAGTTAGTTCTTTTTACTGCACTCCTATATCGCTTGCTAGGTGAATTGTTTTTTTTTCCCTAGACTTCAACTGCTGCTGTTAGATCTTGCTTCATGACAGTGAAGAGCTCCAGCAACTCAGCAAGAGCGCTACCATATTGTTTATTCCATGGTGGGGGGTTTTTTGGCTTTGTTTTGTTGAGGTAGCCTGTTTCCATGGGTGTAGTCGCTGCATAAGCAGCTTTGAGTGTTAAGCATTTTGTGAGTTTAATAATCTTCTGTTTTTAATTAAAGTGAGAGCTTGCATCTTTCTCTTTTTTCTGTTTTGGATTCCAAGATAATAGGCCTCTAAGTCTTCCCACTTGATCCTCCTTACTCAGCTAACCTACAACATCCTCACAATCAGCTTAATGTTCACAGACTACAATGATGTCTTCTACATACGTAGGTCCATCTGTCCTTTCTGAATCTCTGAACAGAAATATTTTATCAGCTTGACTGTGTATGACGAGCCTTGCCTGATGGGTATCTTGTTAATTATTTTTTCATTCTATGTCCTTGCTCCTTGCGTCAGGCCACAGACGTTTTTCTGAATTTTGCACTTGAGAGCCTTGTTCCCTGATCTTTCAAATGCATGAGATTGTTCTATGGAAACATCACCTAGAAATGCTGCTTTCAAAATATCATCTAAGAGCATTGGGATGCTGTCTCTGTTGAAGCAAAACCCAACACCAGTTGAGAATCTTGGTTTACAGGTAAAACTTGAGGATGGGGGGGGGGGTTCGAGAGATTTTCTTATTGCATATTTGTCCCAAAGAGCTCTCATGTCAGTTAGACACCAGCTTCCCCAGTTCTTTTGATAATTCTCTGCACATGCATATTCTACAGAGGCAACTCCTATCCATAACCGCAGCAAACTTTCTCTCTGAAAGAACAGAGCTGAATGCTTCTCCCTGATAAGCCACATCCTTCCTGGAAACAGGAGATCTAGACAGGCATCTTATCTCAAGAAAGCAGGAAGAAAAAGGTCATTCACTGTTAAGTGGTGATATTCTCACCTTGAAAGCTTTCCCTTTGATTGGCACAGAACACCCAAGGTTGTGGAACTTTTAATCAGGCGCCTGCATAATTACCAAATCATTATTAATTATATCAGAGAACTCCAAGGAAAGGCAAAGCAAACAAAAGGCCTGATGGAGTCTCTTCTGTGGTAGAAAAGAATTAGTAATTACAAGCCTTAAGTACACTCAAGAGTGGGGGAGCAAAGCCACGGTTGGTGCGGCGAGACGGGAGTGTGACTGGCATGCAGAGGTAGCGGCAGGATGGGAAGGCATTGCGGCATGCAGGAATTAAGAGCTAAAGCTCATTCTAGCTTATGTCATCATGTGCAGAAAAAGTAAGATCATTTCAAGAAAGGAACCCTCTGAGCCTTAGGGACCTGTTGCTGTCGTCCATCAGAGGCATCACTGTCTACCAGGGAGCCTTCGCAGATGCTATCCTTCAGAGTCAGGTCACTCATTACAGAGCACAAGGCAGAGACCATAGGTAGCAAATGCTGGAGGCACAGCCATCCCCCCCAGCAATTCTTCTTAATCACCCCCCCACCAGATCCTCCTGTGGGAGATCACATCTATGTAGGTCATGAGCTCTGCTCTGCATCTCCAGGCTAACCTGCTGCCCTAAAGCTACTGCCCTGTCACTTGCGCTAAGAAAGATGCAAGTGCCAACCCAGGTTGCTGCTGTACATGGAAGAAGAGGAGGGACACTCTCCTGATCATTGTGTCAGAGAGCAAAATGTCTTGATCCAGGCCTGCCGTCCTCTATTGAGTTGCACACAGGGAAACATCTGGACCAAAAGACCGGATTTTTCAAAGTCCACCCATATCTCAAGATGTCTTAAGCAAGTGGTTAGTAAATTGGAATGTTTTTCTTTTAAATTTAGACACAAAACCAAGGAGGATTTACAATCTCCACTCCTATTTAGCTCTGCATCACAGTTCAGTGGCTGGTCAAGGAAGCTGACTGCAGGAAAGCGGCTCTGTGGTTTTTATCTGCCGTCAAGTTGCTTCTGACTTGGTGACACCATGAGTGAGATATTTCCAAAATGTCCTGCCTTTAACAGCCCTGCTCAGCAACTGTAAACCCAAGCCTGTGGCTTCCTTTTAGGTCAATTCTCCTGCTCAGCAACTGTAAACTCAAGCCTGTGGCTTCCTTTTAGGTCAATTCATCTCGTGTTCAGCAATCTTCTCTTCCTGCTGCCCTCCCACCTTTCCCAGCATTATTGGGGTAAGACAAACTAAGCTTCAACATTTTTGGCTCCAGAGGTAGTTCAGGCTAGAGATAAATACCAAATGTGACACCCACTCTAAATTTATTTTTTAAAAACCTGTATGTAATCTTGTGGATTTCTTAAACAGACTTTCTGTACAGATTTTCAATTCAAGGAGTTAGAAGTCCATCTTTTTTCCAGGAGAAGCAGAAGACATGATCCTCCTACTGTGGAAGGAGATGTTGGGAGGATCATCTAAACAGACTTCATAGTACTTTCCCATAAACTACACTAAGGGAATGCTGTTAAATCAACGTCAGAATTTTCTAAATATGAAGTACTCAGAAATGGTTTACTACTCTCTTCTTCTGGGGTGCCCTGGGACTGTGCAGCTTGACCAAGACTACACAGACTAGCTCTTCTCCCAGGAGGAAAATTGAACTTCTAGTCAGATAACACACAGAAAGATCTAGCCAGCTCTGATAATCTATATAGGCAAACCAAAAAGAACATGAAATAAGATGCAGATGACAAGGCTTTTCACCACTTCCACTTCCTCCCCTCAAAGGTTACTCTTATCATCTTGGCTGATAAAAGAGATAACATTTTTTTTAAATTACTTATTTCTTTATGCCTTTGCACTTTTTTCTGCCTTTCTAGCTGACCTTCAAAGGTATCATCTCAGTATGTATTTGTTTTGTGCCTACAAGGCTATCGCTGATTATGTCTTCCCTTAAATGTTTTGGAAACACATCTTCAAAAAAAATTACTTATTTCTTTATGCCTTTGCACATTTTTCTGCCTTTCTGTATCATCTCAGTACGTATTTGTTTTGTGCCTACAAGGCTATTGCTGATTATATTTTCCCTTAAATGTTTTGGAAACACATCTTCAAAGTATTGGTTTAAATGTGATAGCACACATATTGAAAAAGCCACGCTGGGATCCTCAATTTCAGTGTTGCACATTTCCTTGACAAAATGGTGAGTGGCCTCTCCAGCACACGTTTGAAACTGAAGAGAGTCAAGACTATATCGACTGTGTGTGTGTGTGTGTACAGATGTAGGCAGATTGCCGCAGCAAGATTTTTCTCCTCAGTGAAACTGTTGATGCAACAGCAACTTATCAAAAGCTTGCAGTGTTCCAAATTAACATTAAAAGAAAATCAAAAGCCACAAAGAAAGAATCCCTTGAGTGTAAACTGCACTTTTGCTCTTCAAAGCTCAACTATATTTGGAAAAGAGCATTTCCCACCCTAACACCCATCAGGGACTCTCCAAGATCCTTGTGCTTTGGTAGGCCTGCACCATCTAGAAAGCTGATTTGTTCAGTAAATAGTCCCAAAGGAGAAGTCCTGTTAAAGGACTCTTTACCTATGCTTTTTTAATTTTTATTTTGTTTAGTTTACCTTAAATTGCTTTCTTTGTGCATAATTCTGTATGAGTTATAGTGTTAATTGTTTAATTTGTTTATGTATATTGTTACTGATGTCTGATTAATCTGGATCTTGTTGTGATTATTATGTTATGGTTTGTTTATTTTGTTTGATCATTTATTTGATTTGATTGCTCCGATGGTGACTGACCTAGTGTCTGTCCCCTTGTCATGGTTGGATTGTTGCCTAATTAAATGCAATCTCAGAGTAGGTCTCCCTCCCCGTGGGGAGCAAGGACCTGTTTTAATGGACCGCCCTTGAAGGTTATTGGACCCTATAGGATTCCAGGATACTGCAAGAGGGATTCTGGCTGATTTGACTGGCGCTCCCGCCAACCTAGCGGTTCGAAAGCATGCAAATGCAAGTAGATAAATAGTGACCACCTAGGTGGGCAGGTAACAGTGTTCTGTGTCTAAGTCGCACTGGCCATGTGACCATGGAAAGATTGTCTTCGGACAAAACGCTGGCTCTATGGCTTGGAAATGGGGATGAGCACCGCCCCCTAGAGTCGAACACGACTGGACAAAAATTGTCACGGGGAACCTTTACCTTTTACCTGTCGAGGCTGTGGTTGATAGTTGGCTGGCCGCTGCCACCAGGGCTGTTGACATGTGTCCCATGAGAACCAGATGTTTTCTTACCTCTGCATTGGCAGCTTTGTGTATTTTGCCTTCTTTAAAGTTACTAAGCAAGTAAACATCATTCAGTCCATGTGTGTATGCATAAAAATAGTGATTTGGACCTCCATTTTCTTAACTGACTGTGTTTAATAGGAGTAATTACTTTCTGGGACATGATTTCCTTCCCTATTGATTGGCAACTGTCTGTAATTTCCTATTACTTGTCTCCATCATTAGGGACTGTTACAGGCATTAGAATCCCCCAGAGCTGTGATTCTTTAAATCTTGAACAGTCCCTAACTATTGAAGAAAGTACAAGCAGTCACTAATTGACAAAGAACCCAAGAAGCAATTCGTCCCAATGGAGACCTCCTCATACAGTTATGGCAATTAATGCACAAAACCACAATTTTACATTAAAAAACCACCCTAAATTTTTTTAATTATTAAATATCTTAAAATAACATAAGCATGAAATAGTATGAATCCTGGAGGGTGGGAGACAAGAAAAAACAAACCCAAGGCAACTGAGATTCCAGTTTTCCCCATCTTTTGGGACCCGCTAAGGTTCTAAAAGGCAGAAAAATTAGTTGTCTCATTACAAAACAAAATAACCAAGTTATCTCTTTCTCTCTTCCCAATGTGAGGAAACACACCTGTTGAAGATATCATCTGACACTTTCTGCAGGTACTCAAGAGCATCTGCTATCTGATGAATGGCTTCTTCTCTGCGAAGGTTGGGCTGGATGAGGGGAACGGAGTATGTCTGTCCTTCCAGAAAATATTTCTGAGTTGCAGTAGCCATTTCTACCTGAAAAACCAAGTAGCAGCCAATTAAACATCTATTGAAGCCCACGCTAGGGCCTGTCAAAGAGCCTGACTTCCAGTTTTAATCCTTGGCTAAATCACTTAAAGTCACAATTTTCAAATGGAGTGGAAGGTGAAACGTAGTTCTGCTCAGCAGCCTCTGACATGAAGCCTTTCAAATAGGATTATCTGCATGGGTTATCTTCATGGCCATCGCTTGGGACCTCTGAGACTGCACAAGATGGTCATTCCATGACAACCATTTAAAAGCCCGTATGAGCTCTCTGAGTTACTTGATACTTACAAGCATTTTGCTTAGAAACTTAATTGGTTTTGTCTATTATTATTTATTTTATTTATTTGATTTGTATCCCGTCAATTTTTAAATGGAGTGGAAGGTGAAATGTAGTTCTGCTCAGCAGCCTCTGACATGAGGCCTTTCAAATAGGATTATCTGCATGGGCTATCTTCATGGCCATCCCTTGGGACCTCTGAGACTGCACAAGATGGTCATTCCATGACAACCATTTAAAAGCCCGTATGAGCTCTCTGAGTTACTTGATACTTACAAGCATTTTACTTAGAAACTTAATTGGTTTTGTCTACCCCTCATAATCTTTGCAGAGATGAATACTTCTAATCCTTACAGGTAACACTGGTAGCTGTGAAAGCCAGGACACTGTTAGATGACACTGTAATTTTCTCCTCCAGAACCAGCACCAAGATTTGTCCACTCATAATCTTTGCAGGGATGAATACTTCTAATCCTTATAGGTAACATTGGTAGCTGTGAAACCCAGGACACTGTTAGATGGCATTTGAGCCATGTAATTTTTTCCTCCAGAACCAGCACCAAGATTTGTCCAACTTCTGTCAAAAGATAGAGAGTTGAGCCAGGACTCATGAGACCTAGGTTCAAATTCCCACTCAACCATAGAAACGGACTGGGTGTTGGCGATTGTAACCAACGTCCTGAACATCTTGCATACTTTAAAAACCCTATCAAGGTCGTGAAATTTAGAACTGGGTTAACAACAATACCCTGAGAAGAACTGAGCAGGTACATGAAATGTGTTAGCTCCCCAAGTATTTGGCCTTAACCCCTTCTGGCATTTAATATTACTCATCTGGAATCACAGTATCAGGTGTCAGAGTGGTTTGCTTCTTTCTAAAGGTTAAGAAAAGAAAGAACTTTGGTATCATTCTGGCATTAGATGCCCATTTCTTGATTTGTTACAATTATGTTCTGTCTTTCCTCTGTTAGCTCAAGATGACATACATGGCTGTCCTCCTCACAAAACCCTTGCAAGAAATCTCAGACCAAAAGAGAGAGACTAACGCAACATCAAACAATGAGTTTTATGGCTGAATGTAGACTAAAACCTAGATTTTGCAAATCTCAATACAGAAGTCTATTATTCACATGGGCTGCCTGAAGAATTATTATTTCATCATCGTTGTCAACTAATAGTAAGATCACTCCCTTTTGCTAAGGAGTGATAAAGAGAACATCTGACAGTAGGATCATAGGCTTTGACAGCTCCATCATCAAAATAAGTCAGTAGGACTGAGCTATATCAATTCAAATTGACAGGCTAGAGCCCTGCAATTACTTGGAAGTGAAACAAGAGACACCTATGAAGTTGATAGGTTCAAAAAATTAGTAAGAAAAGTAGTCAAAGTGACTTTAATTTTTCTTCTGACAGAAGTGGGACAAGCACAAAGAGGTGGTCCATTTTGTTGGAAATGACTGCATGCTTCATGATGAGCAATAGAAGGCGACGTAGGGCATGATCCTGTTTTGCACTGCAGGGTAGAGGACTCAAGCTTGATTGCTGAGAGCCTTCCCCAGTCAAAGAAGAACAATCTTAGTGTTCTGAATGTGGCTGACAATACAGGAGCTCTTTTCAACTATACATCTGGAGGTACAGTACACAAAGAGAGGAACTGGGCTTAAGTCTGCCTGGTCACTCTGCATAAATATTCATTAGAGTGCTTGAGACAGCTCATTACTACGAACATTACTCTGTGTGAATGAGGATCTAGACTAATCAAGAGTGCCCAGTTCATATCAATCTGTATGATGGTAGGCTTTTAGCTGGTACAGTGGTGCCTCGCTATACAAGCACTCCGTTTGACAACGAAATCGCTTTACGTCGATGTTTTTGCGATCGCAAAAGCGATTGCAAAATGATGTTCCCTATGGTGGAATTTTACTTTGCGATGATTGGTCCCATTTCGGTAACTGATCATCGCAAAGCGATGCTTTTCGCACAGCTGATCGGTGGTTTCAAAATGGCCGCTGGGTAAAAAAAATGGCTGCCCGCTGTTTTCTGGCACAGATTTCTCACTGCACGGGCAGTGAAAATGGCCGCGCTATGGAGGATCTTCGCTGGACGGTGAGTTTGAAGCCTCTAGGAAAACATTAATGGGCTTTTAAAAATCGCATGACGTTGTTTTCGTTTTGCAGTGATTTTTGCGGAACGAATTAACGTCATCATGTGAGGCACCACTGTATACCAAATAAACATAGACATTTAGACCTAGATTTTCAAGATTTAAACATTCTTATTTTCTTAGATTTAAAAAAAATGTATCTTGTCATTTCTTTGTTTTTTCCAAATTCAACTTTTTAAATATTTCTACCGTATTTCCCCAAAAATAAAACAGGGTCTTATATTAATTTTTGCTCCAAAAACACATTTGGGCTTATTTTTAGGGAATGTTTTATTGTTTTCATGTAAACAATCTACATTGATTCAAATGCAGTCATGTCATCTTCTTCTTGCTGCACAATGCTGCACAATAGTGGAGGGCGGGGTTTCACTTAACTGGGGGTTATTTTGGGGGTAGGGCTTATATTATGAGCATCCCGAAAAATCATACTAGGGTTTATTTTCAGGTTAGGTCTTATTGTTGGGGAAACAGGGTAACTTGACCATGAAGAAATTTGCAGATTTTTGTTAAAACAAAATGAAATGCTTGCTCACTTCTCATGATAGTTCTCGGTCATCAAAACTGGATCAGTCTCTTTTTGAACTATATTTTTTCCAAGGTGAGCAGAACTTGCTAACCAGAAGGAAGACTTTCTACAAAGCTGAAGAGCACCTGCCTCAACAATCTGAAGGCCCTTCGTGAGTGACAGCAGGACTTGTCCTCTGTGTCATTCTAAGAGAATTAAATGGAAATGACTTAGGTAAAAGAGCTACTGATTTACACGTTTATTTAGAGAGGCCATCAGCCTCATATATTGCACATATATTTTATGAAAAGTAATGCACATATATTATGCACATATATTTTGTGAAAAGTAACTGCTGAAATTTATTGATAACATCTAACCTTAAGCAATCAATAGACACAACAAATGGAGTTTTAATAAAAAATATGTATTTACTTTATCTATTAAATAATTCCTCATATCCCATCTCATGCCTAAAGCCTAATGCTTTTTACTACAATACTGAGGATGGAAATGAAATGAGAACCTTATAGGTTTCTCACAGCAGCAGTGGAATTTAAAGTGAATGTATCATACAGTGTAAAATAAGATTTATGAGCCAGCTACTTCATAGCCTGAAAAAGCCTGGTGAGATGAAGCCCAGAGATACCTTTGCTATATTCATTAGTAAAGGTGGTGATGTAAGTAATTCAAATATAACATCCCACAGGGACAGGAAAATAATTGGGTTATTCCAAACCATCTTTTTTCCCTGAAACACCCACAAATATTTGTTCCTTGGAGGAATTTAGGCAGTTTAATATTAGCATGCAATTTTTTTAACATGAAAATGCTTCTGACACTGCACTGCTTTGCTGTCAAATCCCATCTGCACTGACCACTAGATTCTTGGTCTGCTTGTATGTATTTGTGTCCAACAGGAAAAACATTCTATTCCAAAGGAGAACAAATCAGATAAAGAGTACAAAGCAAAGAGATTCAGCAGAGTCAAGCAAGAGCAGAGATTGCATCATCATCATTTTAGAGCTGCAGAGCTGGAAGGGGCCCTTATATATCATAGAGTCCAGCCTCTGTCAAGAAAGAGCACAGTGGGGGACTGAACTCCCAACCAGATACCAAAACCGATGAGATATCCAGCAATTGCGGGTTTCTAAGTCAGGCAACCTCCAATTTGCATTTATTTAGAAAAAGCAAGGAGGCTGCAAGTGCCTTACACAAGTTAAAATGAAGGTGGTGGGGTTTGGCATAAGTCTATTTATATTCTGCTTTAATTAAACTGTGTTCCAAGGTGTTATTAAGCAGTAATCAAAAATGCAGATGGTAGCAAGCTGATTGGCAAAAGTTCCACTGTGCTGAATAATAAGAAACATTGCCCCTATAAATAGGTCTAATCATCATCTGAGGGGTGGAATGATGTGATGGGGAGGGGGGAGGAAGCATTAAGTACAGGAGTAATTAGGCCCTCCAGCAGACTTGCACTTCTTAGCTGTTTGACTGTTCTCATTACCTGCCACTTGTCTAAATGCAGCTCCAGCGCTGATGAGCTAAACCTGGATAAAGGACTTAAAAAGTGAGATCAACTTAACTTAAAACAGCTTTTGGCTGAACTGACTGTCAAAGTATATTCTTCACCAGCAAAAGAGCCCAGGTGGAATTAAGTCTCCAAAGATGTTACCGTAAGTGGGCAAGTGGCCCAAAAGGGATTAGATCTCCAGCTGTGGTCCCTTGACAAGTGTCAGGTGAGCTAATTAAAGTGGGCAGCCAGAGCCTTCTCCCAAATGTGCAAGGAAGCCAGGAGGGGAGGACACAACCGCTCGGCAGTTTTAAAAGACACAGCCCACCTTTTCCCTCCAAAGAAAGCTACAAGAGAAGGGCTAGCTTAGCATTGGGTCAAACTGACAAAAGTGAAACTCAGACCCATATATGTTGCCTTCTTTGCCTACTTCGTGGTACCAGAGATCCGTCAGCCCCTCTGAATGAAGCTTGTTCTAGGATTATTTGCCTTTCTTCTCCTGCAATTTGCATATTATCCACTTTGCTAG